TTTAAATTTGGAAAAATTCTGCTACCAGTCCTTCATCACCTCAACCGAAATGGGGTAAATACAGCTCATATGACTGATTTACTGGTGGTCTCGAAACTCTACTTATATACGAAAATTTTTATGTTATGCTTGAGATTAAGCTTTTTGTTTTCATCAGCATCCCTTGAGATTAAATAAATATGGTTAGGGAAGAAGACCCATGAATACATAATTTAAAGTCTAGTAGGCAAGTCCCTAAAAAATCTGCTAGTATCAAGCTAATAGAAGGTAGGTATTGTGCTATACATGGATAGTAGTAGATATCCTGGTTAATGCTGATCTCGAATAAATGAAAGATTATTAAATCATTTAAATAATATATACTACTATGCCATTTATTTGAGTAGTAAATACCTAGAAGATTAAAGTTAATTAGGTTTCTTACCTGCAAATACTTCAAAGTCCTTAACGAAAGGCACCTCTGGGAGTGACATTTGTAATCCGATAGTAGCTGCTAACCCAGTCGGAAAATCCCGCGATATGCGAAAGCAAAGCTGATCTATCTCGCCAGCAGCAGCAGGGCTCCATGTAATTGTCCGGCCAGCCAAAAAGGCCAGCAAGCTCAGTTCAATCAGTTCTAGGCCAATGGTCTCTCTTGGGTCTCCAGAAGGTAAAATTAGTTGACCATCACGTAGTAAACGAACCAGCGCTTGACTTGGACGGTTTGCATGCAGAGGTAGAGAAGCTCGATCTACAAGAAAGTCGACCATTGGTGCAAGTTCCTGGGCAAACCGACATTGCTCTTCTTGTCGTCGTTGCAGCAGATCTTCAGGGCTTGTTGCATGAAAGTGTACAAATTCATCTTGATTCGAACTATTGGAACCGCTATAAGTGTAGTTATCGAGTAGATTTTCAATGCGATATGCCATGAGTAATGGAATACGTGACCAGACGATCGTGTAATATATTCGGTTGTCCATTTCTAGTAAGAATATCATATAGGAAATTTCTACATAATGTAACATAGTGAAAGAAACGTGTTCTGCTCTTCACATCACGCACAACATGATTATGAAAATATAAACATAATTTTTTCGCCAATTTACTATAGGCATTTTATAAGAAACAATTTTCTCAAATGAAAACACAAATATGAAATCATTCACTAATATTAATTTTACATTTGTTAAAACATAATAAATAAATCATGATATAGAAGAATTCGGAAGGAGAAGAAACTAGTTTTCTGGCTGAAAAAGTTTGAATTTGTTATTGTTAAATTTAATTTAGCATAATTTTTGTGTAAAGTAAATTTATAAATCAACCAAAATGCACGCAAGTTTATTTACAAGAGAAGCCATCTAACCTATTACCATGCATATTGCTGACACTTCTTTGACGCATTAATGATAATTGTTTATAAAGAGATTCAAAATATTACAAGTTAAAAAAAGGTGTATTGTTAAATTTGAAAAAAAACAATCTTTTGATGTATTTTAAACATTTCATTATATTACTCGTTCAAATATTTTTATTTTATTGTTTAGAATGTGCAAAAACATGAGGTAAATACCAAAACTACTGTCTCCGGCCTTGAACTAACTTTATCTAACACGTCAATCTTCTGACTAACAGAAAAAAACAAAGTTATGATGCTCGTATATTTTCTAGATCTATACACTTTTCGATGGTCTATTGATCGTTTTTAATAAAACAATAATAGTCTCGTGATTTTTTCCTATTTTAATACTGTGAGTTGTATTCACTAATACTGGTACCTTAATAGATTCCTACATAAGCTTCTAATGTAGAAGATTTTTATCACGATGAGAGACGAGACTTTGTGGAACTTTTTATTTTAAAGATAAACAATAACTAATTATATTCAAGTGAGTAGTGTCAAAACCAATTCTGTGAAAATTCAAGCTGGACGATAGTTCCAACTCAAAATAAATATACCCTAACCAGAAAACATGGCAGATAGATTTAGTAAAGAAAAATCATTAGGAA